AGAAATATTTTGAAGAAAAGGTCTTTATGGCAGGCAACATTCATGGATCAACGCAATTTTTCAAAGATTAAAACTGGAAAGTTTGGGAGTAAAGAAGAAAATAGAAATGATTTCTTGGTGACAAGCTTTGTTCATGTAGAACTGCTTCAAATATAGAACTGGTTTAGTATTTGCCGGTGATAGTAACCATTATACATCCTCTGAAAATTTGGTTATCGAGTTTTTCTTTAGAGCTACTATCCAAAACGGCCTAGTTATTCGAATAATTTGATGCTAATACAAGTGTTTGTTATTTCGAATGTGGAAGCGATCCTCACAGTTATGAACACTACTTAAGTAGTAGTGAAAATACGTCCTGAAAAAAACAGGCATGTACGGGATTTGAACTACCTGCATGGTAAGAGGAAAATGTGAGTTTAAAAAATCTTGATAATTAGAAAAATCTGAGTATTTATTTGGACAATGATCTTGAAAAATGACGGTAATAGGACTAAGTGGAGACCAATTCGGTCTGTAATAATACAAGTGATAACACAATCGGACGACCGCATGGAGTTCGATTTGCTTATCGCGAGTAATTAATCATAAAAGTTACAAATTCCGAAAAAAAAAAGAATTTCCAAGTTATGAAAGAAAGGGAAAATATGCATTAAAAAGACTGATAAAGGAGGCGTAAATTGTTGAATGGTTGTGATTGGTCGATTTAAACTTCAACTTTGAATGCGATTGGTTTATTTAAACTACAACTTTAAATGGGAGTGGCTTGCTGAACTGAACAACTGAATTGAAAGGAACACAAAATTAATAAAACTAACTGCTACAGAGTGAGTAGTTCACCCATATTAGCTTTGGAATTCATCGCTTTTTGATCTTAATTTTTTCGGAACGTTAGCTGAAGAGGGGAGAATAATTTCCTTTCTGAAATGCTGACAAATTGTCATCGCCTTCTCTACCAAATCCTCAACATTTGCGCACAACTGTTTGTCGTAGATTTTCATGTTGATCAGCCTCTGGGGACGAAAGAAAAGTATAAGAAGATTTCTCTAATATCCATTAAGAATTCTTTATTTCTGCATGACCTTATCTAAAATGCTCAAACACTTGGCAGCTAAGGAGGTCTTCAGTTGTACTTAGTTGGCTGATTAACCAACTTGATGGAGAGCAAAGGCACTTAGTTGCCGAGTTTATCATGATCACTTCGATCACTTTGATCTTGAATAACTCGACATATTTTATGACCCCACATGATATAACTGAATGTAAAAATTTTACCCTGTGTAATGTTGCCATTGCTTTGAGCTGGTTTCTTAGACCAAAGAGGAGCGTTGGTCTTGTACCCGGGTCATCTTGTCAGCATCTCAACATTATGTCATACAGCTGTATCAATGTTTTATATAACATAGATTGATACTTGATATACTTATAGTAAATTGAATCAAATTGAAACGAAACACGTAAGTTGTTTTGATGATGAATTCATCGTGAGCACAAAAACTGTTTAACTTATTACTCTCTCGAATGTGATATGCAAATCGATATGCAAATATCTTCCAAATTTTAAACAATTAATATCTCCATAAAGTGGGGAATGAATTCAATTACTAAAGGAGAAAAAGATGCAATAGATTGAGGCCTTTTAATTACTTACAAATGTGCCTCAAAAGTGATAGAATCAAAGGCACATTAACATTTTCAGGTTTTATTGGAATGTCAGCCTTAAAGAAACTCTAGTGCTTACAATTTATCATCCACATTTTGTAAGTTTTGGCAATTTTCCTACCATCAATCCGCGCATACTGTAAGCCACTTAATATAAAGAAACATTTTGGACACTATTGGATCACGTTCACAAGTTTAACCATGCTTAGATTCTTATTGAGTAAAAATGACGAAATTACCAAAATTAATCTATGATATGGGTGGGGTATCCAGTCTTTCCGCATCCTGTCGTTTCGTACCCAAGTTTGAGTCAGTTCGTACCCAAGCCACTGATCGAATATAAAATCAATTGGATTAAAACTTTCCAGTCTAACTGGAGTACGTAGGCATGTAAGGCAAACATGATTAATCCCTGAAACTTGTTGTCGCGAAGTGTTCAAACTGTTAGCCAGTCATACACCGTAAACTACACTATTAAATCCTCGACGTTTGCAGACAACTGCTTGTCGTACATTCTCATGTTGATCAGTTTCTGCAGAGAAAAATAATGCAATAACAAGCATCATTAAAAAAGTGTGCCTCTTACGTTATAAGCGGTTATCCTCACAAGTGGTCAGCTTTTGACACCAAAACAAATTCAAGGAGAAAGTATTTATTGCGTCTTCGTCCGCCGCACTTCGTGCATCCCAATGCAGTTATGCAATCATCTTATGATCTTTCAAATAACCATCAAGTGTCAATTGTCATTAAGACATTCTAGTTCGCTTCTTCGCTGTTTTTTCGTGGAGTGCTAGCTTCAGTGACATAACGAAAAGATGCAATCCAAACTTCGTAAAAATTACAAGGGTGAGTACCTACTACTACCCTTTCAAGGCTCAATGATGTTAAGTTTAAATCCTAATTAGCCGAGCCTAAGCCAGTCGGTCCTACGTGAAAAACAAAATGTTCATGTTGATCAAAATTCTCACCTTGCGTTGGGTTTCCATGTCCTTGAGCTGATTTTTCAATTCAGTGAAGGTTGGTCTTGCGTGTGGGTCATTCTTCCAGCATTGCATCATGATCTCATACCTGGTATTGTTCAAATGATCTGTTTGAGA